ATAACCACAGAACATTTTGGAAAATCCCCTTTAATGCGTTTTGATCATTTGATATGAAGACATGTTTGTTTGGCAGCAACAACGTCGAGTTTCCTCTAGAAGAAAAAAAGGCGCCGAAATGCTGCCATCTTGCGGCCGGAGCACTGAACTGCAGCCTTCTGATCTGAACAAGAAAGAGTAAAAAACTCATTTGTTGGAGAAAATTTAAGGCACGGTTGGTTATTTTCTCCAGATCCAATTTTTAAGATTTTGTTTGAAATTGTCTTTAGGTCCTGACAGAAATGAATAACTCATGTTCTCTGAAAAAGGAACAAAGAAAAAGAAAGATCTCGGCCGATATATCTGATTTTTTTCTCTTTCTCCTGATATTGGTATCGGCCTCAAACATCTCAAATCAGTCGGGCCTCACTTCTAATCTCTCTGACCTTTGAAAAACACATCTTCACCACGGACACTCAGACCAAACGATCTGATGCTCCTGACTGTCCTGAGGTCGAGGTTGACCCAAGGCCTCACACCGCCTGTTTTTAAATCTAACCTTAAAACACATTTTTATGGCTCCTGGATCTGCGTGAGAGTCCCATCCTATTTGTCTCAATGCTTTTCATCCTGCTGTTTTTACAAACTGTGTTTTTTAAATGTGCTTTATGAATACATTTGGATTCTGTGCCATCCTTTTTTAATCACGGGAGGTTGTAGTAAATATAGACCGCTAACAGCGAGGGGGGGCAATCGTACTTGAGTACAGCATGGTACATTTGGCCAGTGTGACCGCGCCCTAAGACGCTCACTTTGTTTGACACTCAGACTGGTACAGTTGCGACGATGGTCTGAGGTCTGAGGTCCAGGCTGAGGAAGTGGAGGGGGGGGAGCATGCTGTGAGAGAAGCAGACAGTAAACAGAACCATCCATAGAGGAGCCCCTGACAGTTTTGATTATCCCTGTAATTACAGGCTGCTTTCATCACTTCACTTCACAGAGCACAGAGGCATTATTGGAGCGCTGCACATTACCTCAGCTCTGGCAGGCCGCACTCGGCATCCGTCACAATCCAACAATTAGCACCGGGGGAGAAAAAATGCACATTAAAAAATGAAGTGAATATCAGTGGCCACCCAAGAGTCCAGATACAGTGAGTCACCCTCTAACAAGTGCACACTGTACCAACATGACCTCCCTGTGCCAGAGAATGTTGTGCCTGTCCACTTGGATTTGTTAAGTCCCCATTAAAGTCCCCATGAAGGCAGCCGGCGGGCCCACCTACCTCGACGGTCCCGGTGGAGAATCCATTCTCGCACTGCACTCATGTGGAAATAAGCCTGTTTACCACCAACGGGTCACACATGCTAATGAGCGTCTGTTTGTTTTCCAGCGTGCTCATGCAGGAGGAAGGGAATTTTAGAGGGGGAAATAATAGATGATATGCAGACAACGGCCCGGGTGGCTTTGCCCCCGCGCGCTAATGATGAAAAACTGCAGAACAGAGAATTAATGGATATGAAATCAGAACAGGAAATGTGCTGCTTCTGATCACACACACATTTACAGGATGTCCACTGGCCTGGTTTGATAGAAGGTGGTGTGATGCTGGCCTGAGGATCACCTGATGCTCTGACATTTGACCACCGGCCAATCAGCTCCGTGCCCACGACTGAACCCGGTCTGAAGACTTCAGAGTTAGTTTAAACTTACTGTTCTGCTGCTGCTTTAGTTCAGTCTCTTCTGGAGCTCACTCAACGTGTTTTCAATGTTTCTCTCCGCTTACTGTTCATTGTTTTCCTGTTGTGTGCACCTAATGTTTACCTAGGGCTGGGCGATAAATCCATTTTACAGATAAATTGTATTTGTGGAAAATTTAGATTTTAAAAATAACTTCGCCGCTCCTCTTGGGTTCCTGTAGTTCACAAACCCTCCCCTCTCGTTTAGTTTCTATAAAATGGCCGACTGACCCCATGTATGAGCCAATCAGAGGCCTTAAGGGCCTTTCAGATAGGATGCGGACGGTGCAGAGCAAAAGGGGAGAGCGCACACACAACCAAAAAGCAACGTTGCCCGTTGCTAGGTGACCAAAATAATAGTCGACCATAACAACACACAACAACCCAAACTCTGTCTTCCTCTGGAGAGGCGATAAACATGCCGGCCTCTACAGCTAAAGGTAATGTTCCTGAACGCAGCGGTGAGCAGAGGGATCTTAGTCTTCTACTCTGTAACGATCCTTCATGAGACAATAAGTCGGTAGTTTATGTTTACACCAGATATATCTACAGACCACTTTCTGTACATCAGAAACATGTTTTTTTTTTTAAATAGATTTTTGGGCTCCCCGTGCCTCCAATGGAGAGACAGGACATCTTAACAAGTCTAATCCAAAGACGAAGCGTGTCACATTTCTGTCTGATGTTTGGAGGCTTCCATCCTGTTTCTCCATCCACAGCCAGGACTGATGTAAATGTATGGACCATGATTCTACTGGTCCATTACTCATGAGGTTTTGCACACTTTAAGGTGTATTTTAAAACATTATAAATAAAAGGGACTGATGTGTTTTTAGTTATCTTTGTGAACACCAGGGAGCGATGAGCACCTTCCCAAACACTGAGGCTGACAGGAACCACCATGATGTGGCTGCAGCATAAACTATTTACTGATTAAAACATAAAATTATTAAAAATGAAGGAATACCATTTGTTGTTAAAGCTGTCAATCAAAGACTGGTGCTGACCAAACAACTGTACAGATGTCTCTTGAAAAGGCGGCAGACTCTGTACATGAACTGACCGACCTGCTGCAAGAAACCAGTTAAAGGAGCAGTATGTAACTCTGACACCTAGTGTTTAAAATGGGCACTGCAGTCCAAATTCTAAACATCATAGAAAGCTGTCTCCCCCCCTCCTCTGTAGAGTGGATGCTCACTCAGGTCACCATGTGGTGGACTCTGAAGCTTCAGTGTTTATCCAGCTCTGCATGGGTCTGTAAACCTTTCTGTGTTCTAACCTCTCTCCATTTTTCAAAAGCATCTCCAATATTGATCCTAGTTTGAGCACGTTTCTGCTCGTGGAGCTTATTAGAAACATGCAGAGGCTTTTTAGGTCGGGTACAATCACTTCTATCTGAACCACTTCTCTTGACCGCTTCCATCACTGCAACACCTGTTGACCTGATAACTGCTCTCATATCTGGTAAACCGAGGGGCGTCCAAAACGGCCGTGTTGGGGGGGTCTTAAAAGCGCCTACCTTCTCTGGTCCAAACAAATCCAGAGCATTCAGGAGCAGAATCTAAAGTTAGAAGGAGGACATACTGGCTGCTGCATTGTTGTCAGAGAAGCCAGCACTTCAACATAGCATGTTTCCTTAATGATCAGAGAGTAAGATACCTTTATCATCTCACTCTTGTTGTGAAATCTATTATGTGATAATTGATGTGATGCAGAGTCAAGCCAGTCTTCCTCTCACTGATGAAACAATAAGAAGTTCATGATGTTTCTTATTTGTGGAGACAATCAGACCGTTGACTCAGTTGATCCACGTCGGAGGTCGCGATTTGTAAAGCGGTGAACAAAACAAATCCTTGAAGGGTGTCGGTCTATTTACGACCATTGTTCCTTTTTGTTTACACATTATTATTTTTCATTGCGTGTTGCTCTAAGAGACCCGCTGCTTTGTTCCATGAATGTTTTTTTTGATGAGATTCTTACACGACATCACAGCTTTGAGATCTCAAGGCAGCGCGAGGCGGCCAACAAAGGTACAAAGGGTTCACTGATCATGTTGTGCCTCAGTCGTTGGTGCATTAGTCACAAAGACTAGCGAAATGATGTAATGTGGCAGGAAATGCATGCGGCCTTATGAAGCTACACAAAGCCTAAATAACCGTCTTGACAAAAACAAAAACATGATGAGCTTCGCTGAACTGCTGTAGAGCTTTTGTTTTGAATGTTACTGTTGTGTTCAAAGTCTGAAAGCGTATCTCGCCATTGCGTTTTAACACAGACTGTAAATATTAGTGGATAAAGCCTGAGTGACGTCCCCCGTCTGTTCCTGCAGGGGGCGTTGGAGTCCCATCGATGGCGGTCTCCATGCTGGAAATGCTGTCTCAGTCTAACTTTCAGTCAACCTAACGACAGGCTGAGAGCTGGAGCTGAGGCGGGTTTTAAACCTCCTGACAAACCGTTACACCGCGCCCACCTGTCAATCAGGTCAGCTACACGCCTTATTGTGAATAACTCTTATCCTTCATCAAATCAAAACTGATGAGTCATCAAAACATTCACCCCCCGTACAGTGTGTGTCCATCCAGACATGAGCTAATCACACCTATTTGGTTTTTTGAACCAGGCTGTAAACATGTTCATC